TTTGTTTCGATACCAAGTACTTTTGTTATCGATACGTACGGTCGCGATACCAAATAAGTATCGAAAGAAAGTACTCGTATCGAAAGGAGTGAGTATCGACCCATCAGCATTCGATATTGTAATGACTTTCAACACAAAAGAATGTTGTTTATATTAATAATTCAGCAATGTGTATTTAAATATTTTCAATATTAATATAATATAGGTATATATGGTTAGGTGTGAGCTTCCGAAAATAGTATTTTCAAGTATACAAGTTTTCCTGCATTATTTTTGCAATACACGTACTTAGAAGGATGGATTGGTTTGGTTTGTCTAGATATTTTTGAGGCCACCTTGCGTCGCAATATAACTAACATAAATCTTCAATATATATTTATTAAATTTTCATTATAGCCTCAGATTCAAAAGTTGTAATAAAGGCCTTTATTATTTTCTTCGCGATGCCGACCAATCGCAACTTTTTCAATTTTTCTGTTACACATCATTTAGTAAACCAATGTCCCTAACTTCACAAAAGAACACAAATCATTTGGACCAATTTGAAAAAAGTTGTAAAGTTTGTACGAATACTTTTGTCCGTTACTATATACGAGCACTAAGTCACGCAAACTATTTCCTGATTGAAGAAAGCACTGTTGAGGAAGAATTGTGCAAACTTTTTTTCTTACAATCTGCCCCGGTCTCCCGTACTCGAGAGGACTGAACTTATCGACCTCGCGACACGCGATAATCGTCTCGCGGGCGTGACATCGAAATTATCTAATTTCGCTGGGGTCGCGACGCAGCTGGCGATTCCAGCCGCTGCTCCGACGACGTTCCACTCGACGCAACGACCCTTCCCTCGTCGTCTTCCTTTTCCTCTATTCTCTCCGTTTGCTTCATCCCGTGCTCATTCTGGGATCCCCCTTTCCAGAGCCCACCTTTTTTTTTTTCATCCCGTCATCTCTTCATCTCTAACGTCCATCGCCTCCTCCTTTCTTTCTTCTCATTGTTCCTTCGTTTTATTCGACGGTGTTGCTCGCGCGTTTGTACCACGCACCCCATTTTTTTTTTCTTTTCTCCTCGAGGATCCTCGTGCGATTCCGTCGAGTCGCTACCTCTCGACACCCGCCGTCGTTGCTGCCTTCTTAAGCGAGCAGCACCACGCGTACAAATCTCCACGAGTGAGAAAGTCCAGACATCCTAGACGCTTTCGTAAAATTAACTCGACTACGGGTCTGGCTGCCTCGTTTAAGTTACAAGCTGAGAGTCTTGCGCCTGTTCTTTCGAATACCCGTCGAACCTAACCACAGACGAGGTACAGGAGTAGATAGAGTAACCTATGGGTAGACTGCGGATTTTATGCCTTTATAGCCTATACTATATTATATATTTCATTATTATTTATTTATAATATTATATTTATACGTATAGGTCTGTAAAATGCAGTAAGAAACAAAACTTTCATCAGATCCAATCAGTTTTCTAGTTTAATCCGAACCTAATATGATACTTAAGAAAAGAAACAAATTCCTACATTTGCTCTTCATTGTATGAATTGCTGTAGGAAATAGCATTTTGCATAAAAATTCGCAGTCTACTTGTGGGAGTTGGTGGCCCACCTAAACTGTAATACCGACATGGGTGTAGCTACAGGGAGGGGGCAGTACGGAAAAGAGTGGTTTTTGCCCTACCCTACAAGAAAAAAACATGGATTTTGCCCCCTCCCCCCTCCCTTCCCAGAGTTACAAAATTTTTGCCTAATATTTAATATTGCAAAACGCCTACATTTTCAACGATTTATGACTTTAAAAACAACATTAAGTGTGTCTGACTACGCGTCGCCTTTTTCACTGTGGCAGTCGATTTTAATATTTCAAACTCTCATGGAGCTTTTACTGTACGTACTGATACTGACATTTCGCGCCAAATGAAAGATAATAAGTGTCAAACTTTGCATTTTGATATTTGTCAAGTTTCATACTCAACGATACGATATATAAATAAAAATTACATACAAGTTTTGACACTTAATTGTTATTTCGGAAGTCTGTGGAACGAACGTGCGAGTCACTGTACGTCTGTGAGTTTCGTTGCAGAAACGGAGATGCAACCGCGACGGACAGACACGCCTCCGCAGTGTCGCGAGAGGGGGTATATAGTCGATTAACTGCTCCGTACTCTTTAATGTCAGTTAGTTTGTCCGAGTGAGTTTCCGGTTCGTCGAGACGACACGGCGGGGCCCACGATGCGCCACGTTTCTTTATTTCTTTTTTCTTTCACGTCGACGCGCGTAAACACGGTGCATCCGTCCGGTTCGACGGACCAAAATAGTAATGGGCGATACAGTATCGATATATCGGAGTATTGATATATCGAAATATCGATACTTTTGAATCCTAACATCGGTATACCGATACTTTTGAAGCTTAATATCGATATATCGATACTTTTGAAGCTTAATATCGATATATCGATACTTTTGAATCCGAATATCGAATTATCGATACTTTTGAATCCGAATATCGATATATCAATCGTTATTTACGAATAAATCTTGGAAATGTATGATTTATTCGTTATTCGGAATACAATTTACCCAACTCTGACCAAGATGTCCCACGCGAGATTCGTAAATCGATTCAGACGCGCTATTTCGCTCGCCACCCCATTCAAATTGTCAGCGGCGGCGCCTGACTGCCAAGTGCTGCGAGTTGACTTCTCAATAACCATTTGACTCGAGCGACGAAAGGTCCGGTCAGTGTCGGTCGTTCTTGAGTCGCGTGCGACGATATTAACCCTTTAACCTTTTCGATGTTTATGTCGAGTATACTCGTCGTAGCTTAAAAAGAATTAAGGACACAAGTGTACGTTTTCAAAATGAAATAAAACACTTAAATTGCTAATTTTCTAACACAAATTAGTGTAGCCCCCTCACTCCCCTGATCTGACTGACCCCGTGTGACCTTTTCCTGTACTTGTATTTACAGGACTATTACTGTACTATTACATTGTAATTAACTATACTCAATTTACAATGAAAATTGCAATGTAATTGTAACTGTCCCGCAATTACATTGCAATTTAGATGTTGTAATTAGATTACATTTTGTGCAACTCTGCTGTGAGAGACCACCGGAGTCGAAGTAGCTCTCGTGCGTTACAACCTTCGGGCGTAATCTCAACAACGAAGTTTACGCATAGGTGTACCGAGGAGGGTAGTCTCTCTTTCGACGGGTGACGTTCCCGTGAATGCGGATGTCCTTGAAGGGGAACCACCATCGCGCAACCACGCGCGCTGCTCCCTCGCCTCCCACGCTGTGCGCCGCGAAGAAAGATCTTTCGCAACCCATCTACATAGGTGCCGACCGGTGCGAGTCAGGTCGCATTCTTCGCGTAACCTTCGTCTCTCTGTCTTTCTCGAGATGGACGATACATGCGTTGCGTACACGCCCTTTCGGGTGTAAAACGTTTCCTTGTGGATTTATTTTTCCCAACATTTCGCAAGCATTGCCAGCTAATCTTCATCGGAGGGATCGAAAGACACATTAGGGACATTCAATCCTGAAATATCGATCTCAAGAATCGAATCGGAATCTATTCTCTTGGGTAACACGTCACGAGGATATGCAACAAGTGGATACGCACCTTAACGCAAAAGTATGGGACCAGGCTTGATAATTAAAGAAAGAGGAAAGCATTATTCTACCAAGAGTTAATGAAGGTAATGTGTTAAAACTGATGGGAAGTGATTTGTATATGTACCAATTCCGTAACTTTTATTTTATCGTGACAGAATAATGAGTGACGGTACCATTAGTCACCCCAGTGAGCACAAGGGAGTTGACCCTCTGAAGAATCGAATCGGATTCGAACATCCCTAAGACACATTGTGCGTCGTCGACGAATTTTCTTGCCTTCTGGTGAACGGGAACTCCCCTTTTTTTGCGTTCGGCGCGTTCTTACGACGCGCTTTCTCTTGGAAATCGTCATAATAGCAAATCGGCGACGTCGAGGATCGGGGATCTACGAAGACCTTTCGCCGGGAAAGGCTCTCCGCGAAAGGTCTCCCACGGTGAGAGCAAATTATTTACGAGATTATTTATAGACCGGTGTACACTCGGCTTGTACGACGGATTATGAAACGAGGTTGTTTTATCGTATCGATATTTTCAATACTACGGGTATTAATAATGATAATATTTCTTTTAACATCTTCGCTGCGAATGACGAGTATACTCGTCATGAAGAAATTTCAATTTTTTATTTAATGACGAGTATACTCGTCATGCGAGAAAAGTAATTACCATTTGTTATTTTTAATTAAATATTCAAAATTAAAATTACTAATATTTTCATCCAACGAGTTTTCTATGGCATTCTGAATCCAGTAAGATACTTAACCCTTAAATGCATGATTTTTGCAACTATAATAATATACATATATATTTTGAAATTGCCAATTTATCTGCGCGGCAAAACCACAGAAAAATAATTTTAAAAGTCCATCTCGTTTTTT